CATCACCATTAATTTCCCTATTGTTAGACATTTAACTTGTTTTATTGTGCTGTTTTGTCTTTGTGATTGTAAATAAAACTTAATGTACATTTTTGTGCTTAAAGCTTTTTTGAATCTCAGATTTTCTTTATTTCTGCATTTAGATCATACGGCACTTAGTGCATGTCAAGTTCTATGGGAGGCCACAGGGCTGCCTGGCCAGGCCTTCAGTCCAGGCCAGAGGAAGGCGACATGAGAGCCTTTGATAGACCACTGATTTAGTAGAGCTAAATTGTGCAATCTAGAACATTCCTGCATTATATGCAAAAGGACTGCACCGATTTGCACCCTCACCAGGATAAATGGATGCTGATTTCACATCAGTCACACTCACAGTGGGCAGTTAAAAGTATGTTTTAAATGCTAGTCTTCTGTCTTTGTCTGGCTACCTCATCCCCACCCCCACACACCAAACAGAGCTGAGACACACTTGGGGAGGGGGCGCAGGACACAGGACCTGGCCTGTTGGGTCTGAGCTGACTGAGGAGCCAGGCACATGGAATCTGCACATCAGGACAGAGTTGGGACCAAAAGAGGCAAATTAGTGCCTCTTTTGATCCAGATCCAGAGTGCACGGAGGCCTGTAGTTGAACTTAGACCAGAGGTCAGCAGGTAAGAATCCAGGGACACTGAGTCTCAGCTTGGACTGCTCATTGGAAGCACGTGGGCGGGCCCACCCGCAAGCGCAGTGGAGCTGGGGGGGCGGGGCCACGAGGATGCTGGAAAGAATCCCACCCCCAGATCTCTTTCGCAGGCAGGATGGAAAACAGCCACCCAGAACTCATGGGTAGGGCAGGGGTTAGGGTTGGGGTTAGGGTCAGGGTTAGGGTTGGGGATAGGCTCAGGTTTAGAGTTAGTATCAGGGTTAGGGTTGGGGTTACGGTTGTGGTTAGGGTCAAGGTTAGGGTAAGGTCAGAGTTAGGGTCCGGGTTATAGTCAGGCTTAGGGTTAGGGCTAGGGTTGGGGTTAGTGTCATTTTTAGGGTCATCGTCAGTGTTGGGGTCAGGGTCAAGGTTAAGGTCGTGGTTATGGTTAGGGTCAGGGCTGCTCTCTTGGCTGGGATCCCTCCTTTCCTCCAATCCCCACAGTTAGGTAACCCAGCTTGTTCTCCAGTGTGGCCAATTGATTATCTGTATTTTCTTTTAAAAATAATTCTGTTTGGACTCTTTAAGCAGTACATGTTACTGTAAGCACACCATGAAAACAGAGAAAGTACAGAGAGAAAACTGACATTCCAGCCAATGATTTACATTGACCTCCCTCGGCTTTCAGCTCTTCCCTCTTCAACATGGGCGTCTATTCCAGGGGCTGAGTTATTCTCCAGACGCCTACAGCTTTGCCTCTCTTGTAGCTGAGCAAACATTTATTGAGTACTTACTGGATGCCAGGCAATCAGTGAGGCCACTGGGACCCAAAGATCTTAGTGCAACCTTCTGGAACCTTCAGCCCAGTCCAAAAGGAGGAGGCATGAGACCTTCCAACAGCGCCCTCTAAAGGCCGTATCCACGGACCCCACGCACCTTTTCTTCTTTTCATTTTCCTGGAGATCAACGTGTTGGTTGTTCTTACAGTTGAGGTTGTCTTCATTTCAGACAATTTCTGAGGCTTTCATGGCATTTCAAGGAGGCCATGACTATTTCCTCTGCAACTTGTCCACACTTCCTCTCCCCAGACGGCCCAAGGAAAGCCACCCTTCTCCCGTAACCCTTCAGGAGATCTGGGCGTGCCATCTCCACCCAGTGTGGCCAGGTCCTGACCTGGGGGCACCTTTCGTCCCTTGCCACTCTGGGCGTCAAATCACCCCACTGCCCTCCCCTCCCAGACGTGGCGGGCCGCCGTCGGCCCAGCCCTGCAAGGGGCCCTCGATGGAGACTTGTCATCCCCTCTAGCCCCGGTCTGCTGCTCTCAGCAGAGCTGCCAGCGCCGGCGGAACGGTGCCTACACCTCGCGAGCCCAGCTCAGATGAGCTCCCGGCTGACGGGGAAGCCGCCCCCAGTGCCAAAATCAGGGCTCTGTTTCTGGAGACCTGGATCATCCGCTCATGCAGGTGCAGAGTTACATCACCCGGTGCTCAGAGAGGGCTTGGCCACCGCGCAGCCTGGCGGAGGCTGCAGAGATGCGGGCTGTGGCGGACACATGTGCCGTGCAGCCGGGGCTCTCTCAGCTGTGTGGAAACGGGCAATCCAGGGAGGCTTCTTAAAGGAGGCGGCATCTGAAACTGGGCTTGAGGGACAGGAAGCGATAAGGAGGGAAGGACATTCCAGGCAGATGACATAAGCGAGGAGGGAGTGAGGAGCAGCCCCGGTGGGACCCAGCAGGAACCAGGGGCGGGCGTGGAGAAGGGGGCGAAGCCGGAGGGAATGCAGCTGATTCCTCTGAGGAAGGGGAGGTCTCTGAGCAGAGTCCTAGTGGGGCCAAGGTCCAGCACTAGGGGTCTGATAGGGCAGAGAAGATTCCAGAGATGCAGCAAGAATCTGGAGGCAAGATCAGGGATGGTGAGAGCAGCAGGGATGGAGCCCGGGCAGAGCCGGGCAGGTGATCCTGGTGGTGGCCGGGATGTGGGAGGGGGACGTGTCTGCCTCAGGTGACAGTGCCTTGCAGATGCTGCCCATCATGTGACATCGTGGGAAGACCCTGGCCGTGTCTGGACTGCAGTCTGGGTGACTGAAGCAGGACTCTGGGGGCCTCGGAGGGTCATGGGAGAGAGGGTGGGGGGCCAGCAGGGCCTGGTGAGGTCCGGAGCAGCGCCAAGGCCGGGGCCCTGGAGAATGACGGTCACAGCGGTCCTGGGCTGGAGCTTCGCAGGTGGCTTCCAAGCAGTGAGTGAGCACTGGGGAGTCGGGACACGGAGCCCGTGGTGGCAGCTCGGAGCAGCTTCCCACGGAGGCCCCTGAGCTGGCCTGGAGGGGTATCCAGGGACTCTTTTCTTGTGAAAGCCGCACAGACCCCCGAGGGGGAGAAGCAGGACCTCTGGTTTAACTCAGAGGCTCTGCCATGGGGAGGGAGATGGAAGGAGGCTCTCTCCTCCCCGCCCTCCTGCATCCCAGGGAGCTTTCGCTTGTCCCTACGCCACAGGTGAGCCACCATCCATCCTTTCCTTGATTGGAGGGGTACCCTGGGGCACGGCTGCGTCTCCCGATCTCTGTGCGAGGTTGGCGCGTGGGGCGCTCAGAGGGTGCTTGCTGAGTCGATGCCCTGTCCTGCCCCTGTCCTGAAGTGGCCTGGCCTGGCCACGCATTTCCCGTCCGCTCCTGGCGCCTTCCCGGGTCCCGCACTGAAGCGCGGGCTGGTGGGAGCGGCGGGCGCGTTTGCTTGTGCGAGGGGCAGCGCCACCGGCTGGGGAGAGCTAGTGGTCACCATGTGCCTGCTGTAATGAGTCACTGTAACCCTGCAGGCCACGGCCACACACTCTCCTTAGTGGTGGAGAGTTTAGTCTTTCATTTCTCCCAATGAAGGCACACGCTCACAATGCGCTATGAAAATGGGGCACACCCAGGACATGCCAAGCGCCGAAGGAGGGGTGCGGGACACCAGGTGGAAAACCTCCTGCTGCTGCCAGGGAAACCCTCTCCCCCGGGGCCCCCACAGCTTCCCAGAGGGGTCAACTTCAAGCCAACACCCAGAGCAGCGACCCCAGCCAGAGTCCCTTCTGGAAGGGGCAGGCATCGCACAGGGACCCCAGGCGCACGCTGCAGCGGGAGCTCGCAGGGCCCACGACGACCCGGGTGGTCCGAAGACCTGTGTCCCTGAGTCCCAAGCTCTACCCAAAACCAGCCTCCGGCCTGCAGCAAGGGGCTCGGGACACTCCGGGTTCTTTGACCCCAAGAGACTGCCCTAGAGGGTCCCTGAGGACTGGAAAGGCCCAGGGAGGCTCCACGGAAAGCAAATGCAGGTCTGAGGTAAGGGCCCAGGTGGCCCGATGGCCACCCTGCCCGAGCAGTGACCCAGGCTCCAGCCAAGAGGGATTCAACAGCGCAGAGAGCACCCGCTACGGGGGAGGCCGGGTGTCCCGACCAACTGGAAAGTGTTGGCTGGGGGCCAGTGCCCCCAAACAGCCCAGCCCCGGAGGCCCAGCACGTCTGTGGCCTCGAGAGCAGAGCCAGGGGCCCCTGCACCCCCAGTGCCTCTTCTTCTCCCTTCTTGCCCCCTCTCAGCCCCCGGCCCCTCAGAGTGCACCTCCGTTTGGAGACAGGGACTCTACAGAGGTGACTGAGTTAAGATGAGGTCATTAGGGTGGGCCTGACCCTATAGGATCCGCATCCTTATAAGAAGAGATCAGGACACAGAGAAACACCAGGAGCCTGCCCAGAGCAAAGACCACATGACAGGGAGGAGGTGGCCACCCGCAGGCCAGGAAAGAGGCCTCAGAAGTCACCTGCCGACACCTTGATCTCAGAGTTGGAGCCTCCGGAACTGTGAGGAAATACATTTCCGCCGTGTAACTGTGGTACTTTGCGCGCCAGCCCCAACAACCTCAGACGAGGGACACAGGGGCAAGAGGGGGGTGGCCCGGGCTGCCTCTGGCCCTCAGAAGCCCGTGATGCTCTGTCTTCAGGGAGCCCGAGGATGTCACAAGGGCCTGCTCGCCCCTGGAAAAATCAACTGCTCAGAATGCAACCCCTGAATTTCCCCAGAACTGAGCATTCAAGAGCACCCTAACCTGAGCAGTTGCCCAGTGGGCGCCAGAGATGCCACCGACAGACTGTGTCACCGTCCAGGCACGAGGCAGGCGGGGGCCGCCGTGGCGCCCCCACGCCAGAGCCGCAGCCCTGGAGACACAGCCCTGCATCTCTGTCCCGCCAGCAGGTCCCTCACGGCGCGGGTGTGACCCAATAAAGGGCTGAACCAGCACGCCCGGCCTCCTTCCTTGGAGAGGTCGGGTGCGGGGTGCGCGGTAGGGGCGGGATCCCAGCCCAGGGTCGGGGAGCAGCACCCTCCAGCGCACCGGCCTCTGCGCCTACCTTCCCGCCTCCCGGCTGGTGCTTGAGGTTTTCGGTGGAGCCGATCTTGGACCTGACGTTCTTCAGGTCTGGCATGGGCACGGGGGCCGTCTGCAGGCGGCTCTTGGCGGAAGACGGCGACTTGGGTGGAGTGCGGACCACTGCCACCTTCTTGGGCTCCCTGGTGGGTGGCGTCGGCAGGGACGGGGTGCGGGAGCGGCTGCCGGGGGTGCCCGGGGAGCCGGGGCTGCTGTAGCCGCTGCGGTCCCCAGATTTGGCAGGTTCACCTGGGAAGGAAGGAGGGAGTGAAGCCAGGACTCGCGTGGTGGTGGGTGGGTGGGTCAGTAAAGGCCCTGGGGGCTGCCTGTCGGGGCCACTCCAGGCTCACAGTGGGTTAGGCAGCGGGAACCAGGTGGAAAGCTCGGCCACGCCGGCAGGGGAAGCCCTGAGCCCATCTCTGGAGAAGCCCCTTCTCCCAGTCACCCAGGGCCAGACACCCCCTTTCTCCGGAAAGCAACAGATTGGCTGTCAAAGGACCACCCAACACCCTCCCCAGAGAGGGAACCTTCTCTGCCCTGTGGTCTTGGGTCAAGAGATGGGCTCCAGCTAGCTGTGTGGTCTCAGAAAAGTCACTTCCCCTCTCTGAGCTCAGAGGCCTCAACTTGAAAATGGGAATATTAATAATCATAATGCCTGTGAGGGAGGCTCCAGGCCACAGCGTTTGCGAAGAAGCTTCGCAAAACTCTAGTGTGACCCTGCCGGGCCTTTACCCTGAATAAGGGAGACGCCGTGACAGGACGCAGCTGCCGCCCGCAAGCCTGGGCCCATGTGACCCTTTACCCATAGGGTGAAGCTCAGGGCTCTGCCCACCTCCCTGCTCCTCTCCCTGCTCCTCTCCTTGCTCCTCTCTGGCTCCTGTCCACCGGTCCCCGGCTCTCCAGACAAGCCATGCTGCTTTGTGCCGCCGCGCCCTGCCTGGCTGTGCCCTCCCCAAGAATGTCCTTCCCTGCCCGCTGGCATGGCAAATCCCAACGCCTACCACGCGCCCCTGCAGCCAGCGGGCTGCCTGAAAGAGAAGAGTTACACCCGTTTTTAGAGTTTGAATTTCCGTGTCTTGGACATCCCTAAAGTAGTCAGCTCTGTGGCAACGGGACAAACGAAGCCCTTTCTCCTTTCCACGTAAGGAAGCAACACACGGGGCCTCAGTCCTCAGCCCTCCCCGTCCTGTCCCCCTGGAGGTGGCGGCTCAGATCCTTTCTGCGCCTCTTCCTTGCAGAGGGACTTTGGGCAGGTCACTTATGCTCCCTAAGCCTGAGTTTGGGGACTGGCTGTCGGGACAGGCAGTGTCCGGTGTGGTGTCTGGTGCTCACATAGTGGCGCCTCGTAAAGGCCAGTGGGAATTTCATGCCTTGGCTGGGGCCGGTCCAAACCCCCAGCCCCTCCAAATATCCCCAAATCCCTCTCGCCACATGCTCCCGCCCGACCCCTGCAGCCCTTGGCGGTGCTCGTGACCCTGGAGTGAGTGAGAACACGCGGGCTAGAAAGTGGGTCACGCGGCTGTCTGCACAAACCACACACCAGAGGAGAAACACGGGGTCGGACTGTTCCGGCCCGGGCCCAGCGTGTGGCACCTGTGCTCCAGCAGCGGGTCCTCCCGGGTCTAGACATTCGCCACAGCCGGCCACGCAGAGGGGGGCCGCCTCGGCGGAGCGGGCTCAGAATTACCTGTCTCAGACTTTGCCCCCTCGGGGGTGGTTTTCTCTGCACTTGCTTCCTAGCTTAAAAAGAAAAGTCCACAGAAAGCCTCATTATGACCAGGCTTAACGGGGGCCGTGGTGAGATCTGCACGCGGCGGGGCGCGGCGGGCCATCTCTCGGGGGACAGGGAGGCAGGGGACGGGTTCGGGGAGCACGGCCCGTTCTAGCGGGAAACAAGGTCAAAGGGACCCAGCGGGGAGGACCTGTCCACCTGCAGACAGCCACCTGGGAGCAGGTATGACTCAAAGAGAAATGCACGTCCTCATTTCAGGCTGTTAAAAAGTATGAGTCGACTGGCGTGATGTTAAGTGAAAAAAAGGCAGGCTCCAACCCGTACATAAAACATACTCAAAATCCTGTTAATAACCCCTAGATCAGAGAACGTGGGAAAAGCGCCAGGGAAGAAAATACCGGGTGAGAAAACAAAACCGGTCAGCTGTCCTTGCAGGTGCCACCCCCCAGACTTGGGTGAAGTGCCGCTGCGAACACATGCAGCAGGTGGCGGGCGGGCTCTGCGAGGCTCCCTCCGGCCAGGGAGGAGAATCGGCATCACCAAGACTTGGGCCACCGCCCACAGCAAGGGCCACGGACTCCACTACCGGGGAGCAAATGCAGCCTAGACACCTCCTGCGTTGGTTGTGCACAATCTACACCCAGCTGCCTGGAACAGTCACCAGGGCAGTGGGAGAGGGACGTTCCCAGCCAGGCTGTCCCTGATGCCCAAAGCGTTCCCATGGCACCACTGGACGCAAAGTAGCTCGACTGAAGTCTTGCCAGGGACTCAGGGCCGACAGGGTGTTATGCAGGAGCCCAGGGGATGGGCACAGCGGGCGACTGCCCAGCTAGGACCCTCGGGTTTGGCCAGGAAGCTGCCCAGGGGCTGAGACTGTGCGAGGTCACCCACGGTGACCTGCCCAGGCTGCTGCGCTGTCTCCAGGGAGGCAGTGCCACGCGTCTCACCTGGGGACTGAAACCCCTGCACCGGGTCTTGGGGCCAGAGAAGCTTAGAGAAGCCCCTCACCTGCCATTTATTAGGGTTTTTTTTTTTATTTTTTTTTTATTTTTTTATTTTTTTTTTTTTTTATTTTTTTATTTTTTTTTTTTTTTTTTTTTTTTGGTTCCTCGATCTTGGAAAGGGTTTTTTTTTTTAGACAGAATCTCACTTTTGTTGCCCGGGCTAGAGTGCCGTGGCGTCAGCCTAGCTCACAGCAACCTCAAACTCCTGGGCTCAAGCAATCCTCCTGCCTCAGCCTCCTGAGTAGCTGCGACTACAGGTATGTGCCACCATGCCTGGCTAATTTATATATATATATATTATATATATATATATAAATATATAATATATATATATAGTTGGCCAATTAATTTCTTTCTATTTATAGTAGAGACAGGGTCTCGCTCTTGCTCAGGCTGGGTCTGAACTCCTGACCTTGAGCAATCCGCCCGCCTCGGCCTCCCAGAGTGCTAGGGTTACAGGTGTGAGCCACCGCGCCCGGCCCCTGCCATTTATTAGTTACATGGCTACATTTTCCTCCTGCTTAAAACAGCCAGTTAGACTGCGTCAAGCAAACTCTCAGAACCCCAATTTCTTCACTGATACAAAGTGGGGATTCCATCTCAGAAATCAAAAGGTTTAAGAAGGAAATGAGCGCGGCACTGCCTGGTGCAGGGCAAGCCCGGAGGCCAGGGCTGTCAATGTCGGGCCCCGGGGACCACGGCTGTGCCTGCTGGGGCTCCTCCGACTAAGATCCAAGGCACATTCTTCTTACCAGAGCCCGGCGGCGTCTTTGGGGCCGGCGGGGTTTTTGCTGGGATCCTGGTGGCGTTGGCCCCTTTCTGGCCTGGAGGGGCCGTTCCCCGGGGTGTGGCGATCTTCGTTTTACCATCAGCCCCCTGTGAACAATCAGGGCAGGGTGGTTTTCATCACTGGGAAAAGTTACTGTCACCGAAGTCAACGCCAGCCCCATCCATCACCTTGGCTCAAAGTGAGGCTGAGGCTGGGGGGGCCCTTTGCCTCCCAGATGGGACAAACGTCTTCTATAACCACAAGGGTTTGCGGGGCACACAAACCCCCAGCGCCGCCCAGACGCCAACGTCCTGTGACCAGGTCCTCCCTGAGGGATCGTGCTCCTTAGTTGGCTGCACGAGTCGAGCTGGTGTATTTTATAAAAAGACAGCAGAGCTCACAGCAACGATCAGGGTCACTGTCCCTTCAGTGTCGACCAATGTGCAAGACACGAGTGGGCCACGCCTATGTGGACCCCCGTTTTCCGACTCTAATTATGAATTTATTTGACGGATGGTGGTTGGTTTCACCAGAGGCCCTTGGAGACACTGTTGAAAACCTCACCAAGGATCATTATTTTATTTATTTATTTTTAATGCATCCTGGTGTGCTAACCAAGGAACATTAAACAGAGCTAGGTCGCATTCTTTTGTTCTCTCCCCAGACCCTTGAGCAACCCAGGTCTCGGGAACTCCCCAGGTGTGCTAAGAGCCCTTGGCCGTGAACACCAGCATCCGCTAAGGAGCCGGAGCCGGAGCCACTGCTGGCGCGCAGTCTGCTGAGTGGGCAGTGCCCGGGCCTGCCTGCCTGGGAGCCGACCTTTAGACATGACACAAACTCAGAAAAGAAACCGACATTAACCAAGGACCACAAGACGGTGCAGGAGGTGTGAGCTGGGGGGACAGGTGCTGCTACGTGGTGACGCCGTCCAGCCCGGGTAGGGGCAATCTGGAAGCGCTCCTGGTCATCAAAGTCAGGAAGGGACAAGCGGACCCAACCAGAGTGGTGATTTTCAAACCGGGTTCCAGTGGGTGCCTTAAGGGCTGCTGAGAGGCACGGGTCTGAGCCCCTTCCCCTCCTCACCAGAGCCCTGGCTGTCCTCCACGCCGCCTCTCTGTGCGCTCCCCTGAAGAAACGCCTTTGAGGCTAATCACGCGAACGTCCGCAAACCACGGCAGAGCAGCCCCGGCCTGTGCGGAGGCGGTTTCCTTACCTTGAGTTTCGTCTCCTTTGCTCCAGCACCGCCAGTTCGGGCAGTGACAGAAGAGGCGTGTTGGGGACAGGAAGGCGGCTCTGGGCGCACGGCAGGGCTGCAGGGTTGGGTCGGAGGGTCTGAGCTACCAGGGGTGGGGCGTTTGGGGCTAAGGCAAGGCCTAGTTTTCAGGGTTTTAGCGGAGGAAGGTGTGGATGTCTTAAACATAAACATAAACATAAATAAAATCAAAATAAAAGTCAGCACATGAGGTAGAGAAACAAACCGAAAAAAGGACAGCAACTAAAAATAAATAAGGCAGTAGCGGTTTAAAGCGGGGATCTCCACGCTGTTCGGATCACACCCGCTCAGCAGCCCTCACGGCCGCTGGGGACAGGAAGGTGACAGCGCTCCCTGATACAGGCGTCCACCCGCCAGATGCAGGCACTGTGACGCCAGCGCCCGGCGCGCGACTGAGCTCACCCACCGCAGAACTTGTAACAGAGAAGGTGAAAAATGAATAGACGTTCTAGTATGTTCTTGCTCCAGCCCAGTGGATCTTCCTGTGTCCCTGACACTGGGGACCCCTGGGTTAAAGGTGCTTCATCTGGGTACATCGAAGGAGGCCACCAAGGTACCTGTCTTAGGGGCTTTCTCAAGAAAATGTCCCCAGTGTGACGTGCGTCAGAAGGGTCCCACTTTCTATCAAAGTTCAGGTGAGGAGCTGCTGCCTGTCCAACCTGGGTCCCCTCCACCACGCTGGCAGGATAATGCCAACATGAGGATGGTGCCTGGCCCGGGTCTTGAAGATTCTAACAACTTAGGGTCCTTACACACACACACACACACACACACACACGCACACGCGCACACACACACGGGCGTGCGCGTGCACAGGCACATGCACACACACTAGCACACGCACACGGGCGCGCATGTGCACACGCACATGTGTGTGCGAGCACACACATACTAGCACACACACGTGCCCCTTCTGATTAAACTCTCAAATGAAACTAGCATTAACACTATCTGGCGAATCCCAATCTGGCCAGTGTTAACTTCTGAACGGCTTCCACAGGAGGAAAGAGCCCGGGACAGGTGTCCCTGCAGCTGGAGCTCTCAGGGAGGGAGCTGTCCCCTTGGGCAAGGTCACCGGAAGGGTGGTGGCTGACAGCCATGGTTTGCCCTAACTGCCTCTGGGGACCTTTGACCTTCTGACCTCAGTCAGAAGAGGCTGAGCCCAGGGGCGTTCCCAGGAGGGAGGTGGAGCCCTGTCCTGACCAAGACAATCACGGTGCTTCTTGGGAGTGTTTCCTCAGTGCTCTGGAATTGCCCATGCAGGGGGCTGAGACCCTGTCTGGGGCCAGCCTCAGTGAGGACAGCCCAAGGGACGGGCCCCAGTGAGAGGGGAGGGACACAGGCTGTGTTCCTGGGCTGGTGACAAGGAAGGAAAGCTGAGGGTGAGTGCTGGCGAGGGCAAGGCCCCTCTCCACCTGGCCGAGGTTTGTAACAGAGCTGCCCGCTTACCACGCTGCGGGCAACTCCAGAACAGGGATGCCGTACCCATGTGTCGAATGAATGAATGAATGAATGAATGCATGCATGCATGCATGAGGCCGGCCCTTTCAGGAGTGGCCGACACGCGCCGACACGCAGAGCCGCGTCTGCCTCTGGAGGCCCTCGGCGCTCCAGGGCTGCTGAAGTCCAGCTGCTTCCGACAGAATTTATACTGGAAATCTGAGATGCCTTTAAGAAAAATGGGTCTCATCTAGGGCCATGGTGGGATTTTCCAGGAAGAGCACGCTGTGCGGTCACGGGAGCGTTTTCCCAGGTGCAGGGCACTGAGGCAGGAGGGAGGGAACTCAGGCGGGAGGGAACGATGCGGACGGGGAGGGCCTGGCTGCGGTTTCTGTGGCGAGCAAGCTGTTCCTTCACTGTCCTTGGGTTGGTTTTCCAACATACCTTCAGTTACTGTCAGGGTTTCATTTTTTTTTTTTTTTTTTTTTTTTGAGAAAGGGTCTTGCTCTGTCACCCAGGCTGGAGTGCAATGGCCTTATCACAGCTCACGGCAGCCTCAAACTCATGGGCTCGAGCGATCCTCCTGCCTCAGCCTCCCGAGTAGCTGGGACTACAGGCCCAGAGTGTCATTTAAGCTATGCTAAGGAAGCTGCAATTAGGAGCATTCATTCACTAACCCATTGCCCTTCCCTGGCATTAAGTATCACAACAGACAAACACTGGACTTTTGACTGCACAAAACACAAAGCACTTTAAACAACAGCTGTGTACGTCAGCGACGAACGCTCTCCAAGTCACGCGTGGGGATGAGCCCGGACATCGCAGAGAGCACAGCTGCTCCGTGAACCTGACTGGCACCGTCCGCTTACCTTGGCTTTTTTGTCATCGTTTCCAGTCCCATCTCTGCCTTTACTGACCATGCGAGCTGATAAAACAGAAAATGAGAACGTGCGTTACACCCCTCTCCACGGCGCACGGGGAGGGCCCCGTTGTTTGGGCCGGTTTCTCCGGGATCAGTCCACGTTTCGTTCAGCTGGGTCTGGTGGAAACCCCAAGGGTTTTCTTTCCCCTTGAACCTGCTGGTCACCCGTTGTTAGTACAAACACAGCACACGGGGTCATTGCTCGGAACAACCTGGCAAGAGGGGGCAGCGGGCTGGCCGAGGGTGGGCCATGCAGAAGGGACGCAGCGGAGACTGTCGCGGGGCCACACCGGCACGGAGGCTGTCTAGGGAAGGAGGACAGTGCAGGCTCCCCCACCCCCGGGCTGCTCCTCCTCTCTGCCAGGGTCGGCCCCGCTCCGTGAATGGGGTTAGCTCAGCCAGGCTCTGGCCTCCTGCAAGATCCAAGGGTCGGGCTGGGCGAGCTGTCTACCCTGTGGCCAGGCTGGCCTCAGTTTCCTGTGAGGTTCCCGCTCACCCTCTCGGCCCTTGGGGACTGGCTAGAGCCCCTTCCAATTCCCCTGCCGCGTGGGGTCCTGACGCCCACCCTCTTGGCCATCTTATGCTGACCACCCCACCCCCCTTCCTGGTCACCTGCCCCCAGGATAGGAGAGAGCCTGGCAGGGATGTCTCTGTCCCCTAGTTGCTGGTTGCACCCCCTGCCCCAATGGGCCATCAGCCACCAGTCCCAGCTGCTCCCCGACGAGCCCAGCCAGCCCTGAGCCAGCCCCACGGGCTCCTGACCACCCACAGGCCTCCGTAGGGGACTATCCCTGCCGCTTCCCCAAATCAGCTACACACTAGTTACCGTCAAACATGCCAAGACAGCACCGGCTTCTGTGTTTAGGAAGCCACACCCCTCGGTGAGCCACCTGCCGGCGTCACCTCTAATTCAGCCTTTCCCCTCTGTTGACAGTCACCATTGAAAACTGACTATAGATTTCATTCTTTGGCTTCATGACCATATTCCCCCTGCCCCAAGGACAATGGGGCCTCTTGGAGCTTCTCACTGGCCACAGTAGGCTGGATTTCTAGAGGGACCAGCACTGATGACCCAGCCCAGAGGTTTCCAGCTTCACTGTGCAGCTGAGCACCTGGAGAGGTTGCTAAAATGCAGACTCCTGGGTCCACCCCATGACTGGGTCGTAAGCCTAATGTGGCATCCAGGAATCTGCATTTTAATAGGAGCCCCAGGTGGACCTGACTCACGTGTTCCTTCCTTTGCCCAAATCAACCACCGTCATCCATTCACGCCACAACAAAAGCATGTGCTACATCAGCATTTCCTAAGTTGGGGTACTACTGGACAGTCCCTCTTCCAGGGGATGTTAGCAGGGGGGATCAAATAAATTTGGGAAATCCACACATGTTACCTTCTCAGAGGGTCACGACATGCATTAGTACATTAAAGGCTCTGAAAGGTCCTGCAGCAGAAAACCTAAACTTTCTGTAGCCCATTTTTTCCAAACCCACTGGGCAGTGGAACTCTTTTTTCCCACTGGACACACCTATTAACATCTGGTGGACCAGTATTCAATACAATATCATTTCAGGAAACATTGCAGCAAATTGTCAAGTCACGGTTATTTGTCCCCTAATGTTTTGGAATTCAAAATAGAATATAGGAAATTGTTTTCCTGTCTTAAATTTTAAACACAGGTTCCTTTATATCTACATTTCAAAGTTTTCTCTACAAGTAGAATCTAATCAAAATTTAACTGATCTTTGCAACTGTGAGGTTAAGTAGCATCAATTTCTGGGCCCTGCAAATAATTCTAAAATGCCAAGGGTCCCAAACATACCGAGGATCCTGCCCTGTGGCTATGAGGCCTCCCCTGCTGCTGTGGTCGTGATCCCAAGGGCTCAGGATGAGCCCAGCTGGGCCCCCTGTGACGCCAGCATAGGAGCCCTGCCGTTCCCTGCTCGGGAGGAGGCACTTTGGACCAGGCAGGTTTTGTTTGTGCTCAGGGTCTCTCTCCAGCTGCAAAGCAGGGCGGGGTGGGTGGGGCAGGGTCTTGGGCCAAAGGCTCAGCGTGGGCTCTCGGGCACCTCCAGCTGCTGTGGTGTGTGTGCCACCTGCTGCGTGTGCCTCTGCATCTCTGCGTTGGGATGGCACACTCCAGCACCTTCTGGAAGGCCCCGTGGGGTGTGGGAAGGGCGCGCCTCTCAGGGCGGCCCTCCCTGGATTCTGAACCTGGCTCCGTCCCTTACAAGTTATTTTACCTCTCTGAGCACCAGTTTCCTCATCTGCAAAGTGTGGCTAATTATGCCTGCTCGGGAGGGTTGGAGGTTCTAGACAAGGAATTTACGGCGCACAATAAACACTCAGAAATGGGGCTGCTGTCCCCCTCTCTGCGGAGCGCCCCGACCTCCTGTGGGCTGAGGGCCGCCGTGGATGAACCAGAGAGCTGCACGGGGCGGGGGCACCAGGTGGGGGTGCTGGTGACATGCAGGTGGCAGGCAAGCGTGAGGGCCACGTGCTGCCAGAGCCTGAGCCACAGGAGGGGCCGGGAGGGAGCAGCGTGCCCGGGTGTCGGTTTAGTGGCGTCCTCGGGACCTCGGAAGCAGCAGGCATCGGGAGGAAGCTCAGCGGCAGTGCCTGCAGCCTGGTGGCACAGGAGGTCCCCCGGGAAGGGGCGAGGGAGCTCAAGACACAGACCTTTGAGCTGAGGGACCCGGCTGACCGGCTTCCCCCGCAGGCCAGCGGCAGGCCGCTTTTCAGAGGGTTCTGGAAGGTCAGCCTCTTTTGCGTCTTCTCCCGCAGAGGGGTCCTGGGCCTCTGGCTCCTCTCCGGGGGACACGGCCCTTTCCAAGTCCCGCTCCGAGCGTGCCTGCTCCTTCGGCACGTTGGCTTTGATTTCCACGTGGAACGTGAACTCGGGGGCCGAGTCCTGCTCTTCTGCCGCCGGCCCCGCGCCGGGCCTGCCGGGCTCTGTGGCCGGGGCGTCTGCAGACGCTTTGGAGAGGAAGTCGGCAGGGAGGGGGATGGCACCCTCCACGGGGAACCCCGGGACGCCAACGGCTTCTCTAGAGGCTGTCTGGAAGGGGGGCCCGGCAGGGGTGGGCGAGGCCTGGGAGGGCGGGGAGTCCTGGGGCGAGGACTCATCCACATCACGGTCTTCATCCTCCTCTTCCTCGCCCCACGGCCTCTCTTTGCCCCCAGGCCCCTTCGGGAGCCGCCCCTCCTGGCGCAGGTCTCCCGCGAGCTGGTGCTTTGGCAGCTCAGAGCCCCGGCGGCTCCCCTCTGCGTCCTCGGGTCCTGTCCCCGAAGGCTGCTGTGTGGCCTCTCTGGGGCCCTTGGGCAGAGGGGGAGCCCCGGGCATGGTGGACACCTGCTGGTGGCTCAGGCCTCGGGTCCCCGTGTCTGCGGTCTTGCGCCCTGGCTCCCTGAGGACACTTTCCTGGACAACCTCGGCGCTCCCGGGCTCCGTGCGGGGATGCCCAGGGGGGACGATCGTGGCCTGGGCCCTCGCTTCTGCTGCCCACCCCTGCGGGGGCTGCTGGGGGCCTCCTGTGGCGGGCGGCGCTGGGCGAAGGGGGCGCTGCTGAGGAGGGCGAGCGGTCACCGGGCCCGGAGCTTCCCGCGGCGTCTCCCCCACAGGCGGCACGGAGACCCCAGAAGCCTCTCCGCCGAGTTGGGGCTGGACGTGAGGGCCAGGCTCAGCGACCAGGGGCCTCTCAGGTGCCTCCCTCTGCTGGCCCGCAACTCTCCACTGCTCTGCTCGGAAGACGCAGCGGTGGCAAAAGTTAGCAAGGGCACACTCACGGTTAGAGAGGGACACCGTTCTGGACACAGGACAGCTCATGGGCATCTCAAGCCCCCCTAACACAGAGATGGAGCACAGCTCTGGGCTCGTATCACTGCCTTGGTTTGCTTGGAATGGAAGCTCCCTTGGTCTCTCTGCCACCAACTCTCTGGGTGACCCTGGGTGAGCACCTCCCCTCGCAGGGCCTCAGTGTTCTCATCTGTGAAGTGGGAGCTTGGGCCTGGGACCTTCTAGGACGGGCATTATTCCTCTGCCTGTCGACGGGCTCCGGCTGGGCGCGGAGCAGGCTGGCAGGTCTGGGGCTGCCCGGGCTTGATCCTCCAGGGCTACAGAAGCTTCTCCCTCCCCAGGGCATTCGAGTCTCCCAGGATTCTGGCCTCTAGGTGGGACCTGGCTTGGGTGCAGCAAGGATCCCCTTCCCTCTGCCTCTCTTCCCTGCTTCTCTTTTGGGTAAATGAAATCAGCGGGTGCCCAGAAACAAATCCTGCCTCAAGCCCGTTCTCTGATAGATTTGGAAAATCCAAAATTGTGATCATTGAGGATCGAGTCTTGACTAATGGACCTGCTGTCAGATTCCTAGAACAGAAGCACCACTCCGATCCACACAGTCACCGACCCAGACAGGCCTTTGGCACAGGGGGCGTTAGGCCGCTGTGGCAATAAAAGGCTCTGTATGGCACAGACAGTGACAGCCTCAGGGACCACCGCTGGGCCCTGGACACTCGACCTGCTGCACAGCCCCGTTGATGGAGGCACGCTTCATTTTTTCTGGTTCATTCATGTGACCCCCTCCCCCCCTTTAAAGTATCTACCTGAGAATTAAGGACAGGAGAATTATACTCTTTGATTCTCCTAATAAGCACCCCTTGTTTATATATATACATCTCCCAACTCTTCGAACGTCTTGCCTAGTCCCAGCGGAACAACTCACACAACTCGCCAGCTCTCCTTTAAATAAAGCCTGTGACCCCAGAGGATTCAGGGGCTTGGAAAAGGAAGAGGAAGTTGCCACAAGTGCAGTCACGGACACACACAGGTGACATGTGCCCAGCCCTTTCTCACCAACCTAATGGAGGTCAGGGTGGTTGCCATTGGCTCCCTGCCAAGAGGCACGGCCACAGCTTGCCTTCACCTCCGCCCTGTGCCCGGCCAAGGTCAGGGCCGCATTCACTTCCTGTTCCTAGAGTTAGGCACAGTGCCTGCCACACAGAAAGTGATCAGTGCATGGATCCCACGTGGATCGACTGGCATCCAGAAAACAAGGTCTGCAGGTGCCTTATTGGAGCCCTTGGGTAACCTCTGGGGAGGACAGCCCAAGTGACAGAGACAGCCCTGAGCCTGGGCACCAGGGCTGACCAGAGGAAAGACAGGCCAGGTCTCCGCTGCCTTCTGGAAAATGCTTTCCTCCCAGAGCTTTCTAGAAATTGCTCTTGACTGGGATGTTATAATCTGATACATGACAAGACTTTAAGAAACCCCCATTGAAAAAGAGACAAGGGCCCCGAATATAAATGGTAAACACATCTGGAAGAGCCATTGATGCAGAATTGGACAGTGCGTGTGTGTGTGTGTGTGTGTGTGTGTGTGTGTGTGTGTGCTGACCCACAAACAACCCGACAGCATGCAGGCTAAACTCCTGGAGGAGGGAGTCAGGTTGGGAGAATGCTCTATTCAGTTCCCAGGACACTCGGCAGTGCTCAGCAAATATTAAACACAGCAGTCACTGGGGGCGAGGGAGTCCCAGGCAAACAAGTATCTGGACAGACACATTAGTCCAGGTAAGTCCCGGCGCCCTCCTCGGCAGGACTGGTCCCTGGACACTTGCACAAGAAAGGTCAACCCCCGGGGTGAGTGGGGCGTGAGTGAGGCCCTCCCGTGTCTCGCTCTCGGCCCCCTGAGGCTCCACCCTGAAACAGCTTTGTCTGTCTCAGCCACGTTATACCTGCGTGGCTCCAGGCTGCTGTCAGGACATTAAAAATTCAGTGAGCACAAAAGCAAAGGTTCCAGAAAAGACAGTGGCCTGATCTCTGTGTTGCATGGAATATGTTTTGGGGCCATGCAGACACAGCCCGCACTAAAAATCTGTAGAAAACACTCAAATTCACTTCTTTTTATGGAAGTAAATGCTGATTTCTAGAGGTCGTACTTTATAAAAGCCTCTAGTTTTACCTAAGTTGAAAAACATGACCTAAGGGGAACTGGATGTCAGGATTCTAGTTATTTCACACACAGACCGAGGTCCCCCTTATAGATTGTCTGCTCTAGCAGTTTTTAAAGCTCTTGTCAGCCTAAGATGAGGACACGCCCTTCCGTGCCATGTGAGAGGGAAACGCCAGCTCCCTGGGGGCTCTGACCCCCTCTGGGAGCAGGAACGTGTAATTAGGACTCAAAATACCCTGAACCAGGCAAAGTCCCCTAAAGCCAGATGGCACCAGGGGCGGCCGAACATTGGACAAATCCCACATCACTTTCTGCAAAAAAGAGCAGTGTCTTCCCAGCTCTCTTGCAATCTGGAAGTTTCCACATTACAGAGGAGACTCAAGTTCATTCATCTGGCAAATGTAGAAAACAAACCCAGCCCACGTTTAATCTATATCAGAGGTCTCCATTTCCTAAAGTTAGGAATCTCTAGGATTTTGAAATTCTTAAAATGTTTATGCCAGATGATTATAGAAAGCTGCATTTCTTGAACGCAACAGTTTGGTTCCTGAGAAGAAAATCATAATGAAGTTCACACAGAGCAAGGCTCAAAAGCAGCATTTGGGGGCAATGCGGCTGAGGCCTTGCTCCCGGGCAGGCCGGACGGAGGGCAGCCTGCAGGGAGAATCCCGCATCAGATATATTTGAGTTTCTGTTTGACATCGTTCTCAACGCCCAGGCTGGACAAGGCCAGCTTCTTTCAGGAGACTAAACACCTTAGAAATTACTCAGAAACGATGTTGGGAAACAAACCACAAGGGCTCTTTCTATATCTGAATAATCCATCTTTGATAAGAACCAACTCCCCCCAAATCTCCTGGACTCATGAATGAGGGCGCAAGCCCATATTTTCCTTTTAGGGTGGAGCCTATTTGAGTGTTCCCAGTCCCTCCTCCCCACCCCCAAGTCCTGGCAGGCAACAGTAGCCCACTGACCTTGGGTCACGTGTCCAGCAGCTTGGTCTTCCAGGTTGGGGGTGTCTCCGATGCCTGCTTCTTCAGCTGATGTAGGTGTCAGCGGATGCAGAGGATAAAAGCAAAGATGGTTATTGTTTGCTAGAAACGAAGCTCTCTACATTTCCTGGTAGTTCCCTAAAACACGCAGGAAAGGCACATCCCAAGAGAACCAGCTCTGGCTTCCCTGCCAGGGTCGTCGCTGAGGACGTTGATGATGAAAGTTCGCTAAACGAAAGGCACGGCGCTCACGCGCAGGCGTGGCTGTGATCCGGCAGGGAAGGCCTTCCCCGCCGTGGGCGCAGGGTCCTGAATGCCTCTCAACACGGGCGCGCAGTGCGGGCGGGTGGGGGAGGCAGTTTGCTGCCGAGACCCAGCCGTGGGGGCCGTGTCCGGGCAGCGGCTGCACCCCCAGCCCCCGCCAGCCCAGCGCCCAGGCCAGGAGCGCGGGAGGCTCAGGGACCGACTATGCCTGGGCGGCAGGTTCACACGCAGGCGCCGCCAGGCACTCAGTCTCTCTGAGCCTGTTTCCCCACCTAGAGCCCCAGAGCGACGGTGCTGGTTCGTCTTGCAGGAGGACGCTGAGGGTTAATAAGAGCATCTGTGTGAACAGGTTCAGCATCGTGCCTGGCATACGGCAGGGGCCCTAACTGTCACGTTTCTTTCGTCCAAGCTCCTGGGCAAACCCCTTTAACGGCACGCCCAGAACAGGTGCGACCCGGTGGGGCGGAGGCCAGCAGTGCCGGGGAGCCGCTTGCGGGGTGTCTTGCGGTTAAAGCCACAGCACACCCGGAACAAAGCACATGAAGACTTAGAAAGTTCCCGACCACATCAATAGTACCACAATCAATAGGCTTTAATACCTAGGACGCTAGTTTCTGCCTTGTCAACAACCAGGGCATTGCCACAGGACGATGGGTAGAACTGCCCAGAAGACGAGTTTATACGGCCACGCTGACATGCACTGACCTCACGACATCAGAATTGCCAGTGTGCCCTGAGCACAGTGACAGAGAGGCTACCGCCTCCGAGAAATGCCTACGAGTTGCTGGCAGGGCCATCGGTCTTATCTCCCTGACCTGCGGTGACTCAGTCTCTGCACCTAAAACAGAAACGCCAAGTCACCACCACTTGCCGGCGCAGGCCTGCACAGAGAGCGCGGGCCGGGAGAGAGGGGTTCTTTGAGTTGCCGGACAGCCCCGCGGTGGCCGCATAAATACTAGTCTGCCGGCTGTCCTGGGGCAGCGGAGGGAGGCGGGCACGCTCGCCAGCTGGTCGGCACGGCACCCTCTGGTCCCCCCGGCCGACCCTGAGCCGTGCGAGTGCTCACGTCCTGCAACCCCAGCACCGAGCGAGTGCTGCCCCTGTCCAGGGGCACAGCTCTGCGTGTGGACTCGGGCTGAGTTTCTGACAAGGTTATGGAAATGGAAGAAAGGCCTGGAGCAAGTCCAGCTAAAGGGCCACGGAGTCCTGGAGACAGAGGACAAGAGGAGGCATTCCCAGACGATGGCACCATGGCACTGGGTGAGCTGACTTGCTTTCACTCGCTGGCGCCGGCCTCGCTTTGGGGTGAGCCGGAAGCTGGAGGCGGCGATATCTCTGACACCCCTGGACTCCAGCGAGGGACGTGCTTGGAAACACTGAAGGAGGGAGGGAGGGCAGAGGTTGGACGTCTCGTCACTAATGGCCTCTCTGTGCCCCTGGGGAGCATTTCACACGGAACCACGAGGACTCCATGCTCGCCAGCAAGGCAGGACCCCGCGGTGGGGCAGCCGCACTGTGACCCGAATGGATGACAGTGGGAAGTGTCACTGGAACACCAAGGTACAGAAAAGAGGACGCTCCAAAGCAAGGTGCCAAACTAAGGTCCCGTTGTCAAGTCAGCAGCTGAGAAAACGTTCTCCCAATTGTAAAACCTCCTGCCGAATTATCGCAGGGTATGAAGGGCAGGAGGGTGGAGTGGGGAGAGGGCCTTCGAGGCGGATGTCACTGGAGACAGTGGCCTGGGAGTTGTCTCCACGGCCACTTCCAACCTCAGCCCCAGCAGAAGGTTTCAAGGTACCACGTGGAGACCCTGGGTGTGCGTCCCCTCTGCTGAGGGATCTGGTGGACCAATGCTGTCAGGGCCCCAGCGGGAACAGCAGAGGATGGGGGGCAGGCCAGCCCTGCTTTGGGGCAGAGCAAAGGAGTGTGGCTGCAGCCCTGCAGCAGCCCGTGCGCCCACACTTTGCTCGCCGACGTGTTCCTGTGGCCCCGACGTGTTCCTGTGGCCCCGATGTGGTCAGATCGTGTGTAACAGGCCGCCAGCAGCAGCGAGCCGACCTCAGCAGGATAAAGCCGGAGCTAGAGTCTCAGATCCCAAGGGGCCAAGGAGAGAGGACGTGTCTGCCAGAATCCAGCGCAGGAGGCTCTCCGGGGAAGGAGAGCTGGGCATGGGGGCGGGGGAGAGTCTGGAAGAATTCAAACAAGGTCCCCATGAGAGAGAGTCTCCCTGAAACCTCTCTGGGGGTGGGAAGCAGCTCACATCAGCGCCAGCCCAGGAAGGACCCTCTTGCCGCGCCCACAGAGTCCAGGGCGCCCCGCCAGCCCCAAGGGCACGGCTGCAGCTCTGAATGGAGGGAGGGCTCTGACTGTCACGTGGCACTGGCCGCTCTAATTAGCACTTGCAGACTGTGTTTGGCCACTATGGAGATGAAAGTGCATTCATTGACTTTGGAATGATGGAAATGCCAAGAGTTGGCTGAGTTTTCATCCCAGGCAGGGGACGAACTTCCCTCACTGAAAAAACTAGGAAGGGACAGCGGGAGATAAGACCAAGTCACCCGAGATCTCACCCGTGAGTTGTTCTCAACCTTCAAACGTCCCTCACACTCTGCCCAGCTTGGAGAACGTGCCCTGCACCCATCCCGGAAGATGTCACTGTTGATCAACTCGCAAAGCAGAAGAGCACTTGGGTGGCATGGGGGGGGGGTGGTGCTGCTTGCCTGTGGTGGCGTTTTCAGCACACAGAGCCCGAGACAGAGCTGCAGGCGTCCCCGATGGCTGCCGGGAGCTCCGTGGTTAGAAAGGAAAGCAAAGCTCCTGCCTGGGGGCATCCTCCCTGCTCTCCACCGCTGGTGCCACCCTGTCTAGGGCTCTTCTGCATTTCTTTTTTTATTTTTCTAATTTATCATAGAACAGGCAAAGGAATCTTCTGCATTTCTTGTTGGGCAAATGGGCACCAAACCAACGGCGGGAGTCTTTACGTAAGCGCAGTGACGAGGACGTGAAGGACATGACACTGAGAGCTCCAGGCTGCGAGGGCGCCTCCTGGGCCCCGGGCGATGGGCAGCACTCAGGGGACTCTGCAGCCTCGAGGCCTGTCGGACCGACCCCGTCACTCATGTTGACGGGACACTCCCCTAGTGCTCCTTCTACATAGGAACGTTTGGAAGAGCGACGCAGTCCTGGAAGCGGATGCAGGATCACACATTTCTGAAGTTTTCCCGCATGGCCCAGTAGGATCCTCAGAAGGTGTGGTTCAGCCATCCGACCCTGCTGTGCACTCGGCTGCTCCCAGGGGAGAGCCACCCCCTGGGAGGGGACCCTGACGCCGGGCAGAGTCCGGGCGGAGTGTGGACTGACCTCAGGTGGGAAGAAGGCAGGGCTCTGCCTCTGCCGCCTCGGAAAGCCCTACAGAGAACTCTCTGGAGCCGATGTGCTGACTCAGGCGGGAACAGGAGCGTCTAGAAGGAATCGGAAGGTCCTAAGCCCTGGGAGGCTGGCAGGCAGCCACAGAAGCAACAGGGCACCGAGGCGCCGAGCTCCTAACAGCCCAAGATTCCCAGAAGCCGCCTCTGCCCACTGTCCTGCCTCGCACGAGGACGAGGCGGAGCGCCCCGCTCCTGCAGCAGGTCGGCTGGGCACCCGCGGGGCCTTCATGGCCCGGTGGCTGGGGAGCACCCTCACCTGTGGTTCCTTCTGGGATCTCCGTGCGGGGCTGGGCGGCAGCCTGCTCGCCGGGGGCTCTCTCACCCACTAAGGGCGCTGTCACGTCTGGAAACCACCAAGAATCGCCTTAGAAGGGCCAGGACAGGCCGCGCGGAGCCCCTCGCCTCTGCTTGTTGTGCGGGGAGCAGCGCAGGGAGGGGCAGGAGGGGATCAGCCGCATGCAAGAAAGCAGCCCCGTAGGCAGGCAGGAGCCCAGCCCAGCCTCGCTCTGCAGCCACTGCGTCCCCAGGAAGCGTGTTCGCATGCCGTGAGCACACCAGCTCCCAACGCCCATCTGCCGGGGGAGCCAGCAGCCCCGCGTCGCTGCAAGGAAGGGGACCCTCAGCACGGTCCCAGGAGTTTTTAAAGAAGAAATATTGAAAACCAGGTGATTGTTCACTGCAGTTTGATCCTTAAGGCAGTGCAGGAGGCTGGGACTGGGACTAAGACAGTGAGGGACTCTGAGGTTAGGGCCTGTGGTTTTGCTGTCAGGCTTTGGGCATGTCCTTGGTCCTTTTTGATTGGTCTCCTCATCTGTAAACGGGGAGTGTCATCTCTAGGTGATCTCCGAGATTTCTTCCAGCTCTAACCCCTGTTCCCGGGCCCATGACCCACCATTAAGAAGTGCCGAGTCCCCTGCACGGCAGTAGCCAGGCCCAGACCTGCGGGTACCTGACACTGCATGGCCGGAGGGAGAGATCTGCCACCAGGGGCTGCTGTCAATCTCTCATCAAGGTGAACACTTCCAAACCAGCGAGCCTCCCCGAGCAAGGCCCTGGCACACTCCCAGGCCATTCCGGGCAGACATAAGGAGCTGTCAGCTTTGAAGGCTTTCCAAGAGCCTAAGTAAGCTTAGTCCAATGAAGGACGTTTTAATTGTGGTCGTCTCAAGTGCAGGCAGAGCAGCGGGGCAGAGCCCAGCCCAGCAGGGCTCCCTTCCCTGCGGCTCAGAGCCAAGGCCCCGGGCCCGACACACGCATGGGGTCCAGAGCGTGGCAAGACTTGGTTGGGAGATTCTTCCAGAATCACGTTGATGGAGCCACGGAAGCCAAAGTTTTAGGCTGGCATGAGGTCTGGCT